GAACTGTATCTAAAATGTTTTAGTCTTTCTTTTATCTGATGTAAATAGACCACCATTGTGTAAAGTAAATACAGACCATGCTTTCTTGGTGCCCCGGTATCCCCCCCTCCCAGGGATGGGCAATGCAGGGTACCTGAGGTTTCTGCTGTTTCTTTGCAGCTCTGGCCTCTTGAAGTCCAGGCTGGGGTCTGACCTTAAACTCATGGGGTTAAAGATGCACATTTTGCTCAGTTTTTCTTTTCCTTTTAGGACCACGACTGGATTTGGATCCTGACATTGTTGCTGCTCTCGATGATGATTTTGACTTTGACGACCCAGATAACCTCCTTGAAGATGACTTCATTCTTCGGGCAAATAAGTTGACAGGAGAAGAGGCAATGGGTTTGCCGTATGTGTGGTGCTTCTATACTGGGAGGGTAACCCCGTTCTAGTTTTGAGAACATGTGATCTAAGGTACCTGTATTAGAGCAGAAAATAACTAAATTTGAGACATACTATCAGTCAGTGGACTTGAATCCCGGGATCCTGATGGCTGGTTGCTTCCCCTACTGTTCCAGATTAGTCCACCCCATTTCTGGTGATGCTTCCTCTAGAGCCTTGCAGAAGTAGCTTCTGGGTTTGTGTGAAGTTGCTGTGCTCTGTTGGCTTTCCAGTTGTTTTGACAGGTTATCTATGCGCTGTTGGCTTTAGGGAATCTGGGAGTGAAGATGACAATGAGTGGGAAGACATGGACAGTGAGGAAGGCAGCAGTGATGGCTGTAGCTCTGCAGGCCCACTGTCAGATGAAGGTGACAGATCTGCCCCTGGGTCACCTCAGGAAGCCATCAAAAAACACCTGTTTTGGGAAGAGGAAACCAAAAGCCGTTTTACAGAGTATTCCATGACCTCCTCAGTCATGAGAAGAAATGAACAGCTGACTCTACACGATGAGAGATTTGAGAAGGTGAGGTCCCTGAGAAATGTCACTGATTTCTAGCTCCCCGTGCCAAAGAGAATGGAACCAGAGTTAGACCTTTCAGGATTAGAAACTGCCTGACCCATTAAGATTGGTCAGGTCTGCACCCTGATCTGGATTCTAGAAAGAGTCTGTATGGGTCCCCAGATCCTGACATCTCTTTCTGAGATTTGATGTTCTGATTTTGCATCTGGCCATAATCTGCAAACTCCTGCTATTTTCCTAAGAGTTGACTAGCTTAGCATCAACAAAATTCCATTGTTTTAGTTCTTCAGATAATAACTAACACTAAACAGAAAAGTAGAGTGTGGCACCCTTTAAAACCTGATGTGTACCAGCTTTGACTCCTGTGACAGGCCAACTCCTGCTTTACAGCACTGTGAGGACTATCCAACAAACTCCCTTTATCCATTCTCTCCTATGCTCTTTACCTTCTGACACCATCTCTGTTGTGCTGATGTATGTACATTATGTGCAGGTTTGTATTGGGGTAGGATATGATTTCTCCACGGGCAGAGATTCCCAAGCGTCCATCCAAAGCCCTAAAGTAGTAGTGTCTGGCATGTAGTAGGACTTGAAGCTTGTCAGTCAGTAGTGAGCAAATGAAGGAATGCTTTCAAGCTGTACAGGATACAAGTTTGCTACAATATCATGAAGGTGTTTCCCTCTTTCCTGTCAAGAACCGTCCACTGTTAAGTACAGACATCCTCACTCATCAGGATGCAAGTGTTCAGATAAAGTGTAGCAGTGCTAACAGCATCTGAACAAGCATGGAGTTTATACTGTAGGCTCCCTCAACAGTGTGATCCTTTAGTCCATCACTGAGAGATATGAAATTATCTCAAAAATCTTCTGAGGCAGAGATCTCTGCATAGCATTTTATTTTCCAATATGAGTATAATAACTACATTTTTATTTATTTTCTCTCTGCTGGTACAGTAATGATAGTTGTGAGCTTTTAGTGGTGCTGAAATACTATGTAGGAGTAAGGTTAATATAAATATATAAATAGTTAATTCATGATATGTTTTTCATGACATCTTTTTTGTTGTGTTTGTATTTAAGTTTTATGAACAATATGATGATGATGAAATTGGAGCTCTGGATAACGCAGAACTGGAAGGTTCCATTCAAGTAGACAGCAATCGGTTGCAGGAAGTTTTGAATGACTACTATAAGGAGAAAGCGGAGAAGTATGACAGTCCTTCCTTCTTTAGTTGTTTTGTTTCCTATCTTCAAATGACTGATGGGGGAGAAGTCAGAGTCTGTCACTGACTGACTCAATGGTGCAGTAGCCGAGGGTGCGGTAGAAAGTACAAGGAGACACTGGAGTTGGGAAGTGACAAGGCGCCTCTGGCCTCAGGCTGAGGAACCGCTATAACTTAGAAGTGTCTGGTGTCTTCTTGTTTTCTGAAATGGGGTGTTCTGCAAAGTGAACGGTTACAGCTAATAGATAAGCTTTTCATCAGCTGATTAGCAGAGCTCACCGGTGACGTATTTGCTCAGTCAGCGTCTGTATCAAAACGCCTGTTATCTGAGAGAAGTCGATGATGTTAAAATCTGCTAACAGGTCTTGTTCCATGAAACACTGCAGCATGTAGTTCCCACAGCACGGAAGGGGCCATAGGCTTTAAGTAAATTCTGCACATTCTTTGGAGAGAGATAGCAGCTGGTGTTCATCTTGTGTAATGTAGAACCTTGTACAGATGCAACTAGATTTGATCTGCCTATCAGCAGAGCAAATGTGCCGAACTCCTGTAAGGGTAGAGCGGGACTGGGTATGGGAACATGTCCCAGGACATGACAGGCACAGGAGTAGGATTTAAAATGGCTCTTGTCTCTGGAGCTCTTTTAGTGACATGCAATTTGATGTTTTCTTTATCCTGTTTTCATTTTATAAAATGCACAAAATAGTTGTGTAAAATTGAATACTCTTGAGCCTTTTGAGGATCCAGACCTGCCAACGAATGAGCTTGATGAGTCTGAGAAGGAAGACATGGTCACTGTGGTTGTTCAGGAAGCCAAAGAGAAGTGGGATTGCGAGTCCATCTGCAGTAAGTGAAGTGTCTTGTCTGCTCAGCTGCCAAAAGTGTGAAAGCAACTGAAAGGGAGTGTGGGAAAGCAGATATAATCAGTAGAAGTTAAACTTTTAGGGGATTTGTGAGAAAGGAATATGACTATTCTGCTGTTGAGTTGTAAATAATTTCACAGTGATTTTCAGAGAAACTCTGATGTGCTTTTGCACCATAAAAACACCAAGACTGGGAATGTAGTGTGCACCACATGGTGCTTTTGCTGAACTTACAGTGTACTTAGGTGACACGTGATCTTTTTCCAGGTACATACTCCAATTTGTACAACCATCCACAGCTCATCAGATATGAACCAAAGGTAAGTGCTGACGTCTGGAACTTGTTAGAATACCATTTGTAGGGCTGGAGAGGTCGCTTGACATCTCTGGCTGCTGGTTCTGAGGACCCAACTTGGTTCACAGCTCACACATCAGGTGGGAACTCCAGCTCCAAAGGATCTGACGCCTTCTGGCCTCCGGGGGCACCCATACATATGGTATACACTCCTACAGATACACACTTCAAAAGGAAAAATGTGTCTTTAATGCCCTTTTCTCACAGTAGCTCTGTTCCTTTGTGGCTATCATTGCTATTAGGAAAAGTACTAACAACAGTGTGTCATTAGTGGGATGTTTTAAATAGGAATGGGAAATAACTAGTGCTGTCTTACTTTGTTTCAGCCCAAACAGATCCACCTGTCTTCTAAAACGGGAATACCTCTCAATGTCTTACCTAAGAAAGGACTCACTGCAAAGCAGGTTGAACGGATGCAGATGATCAATAGTAGTGATCTACCCAAGGTGTCAACCCAGCCACGGCCCAAAAGTGAGAGCAAAGAGGATAAAAGAGCCAGAAAACAAGCCATAAAAGAGGAGCGGAAGGTAACTGCCCTGTGATGTGGGGCTACTGGGAGGGAGGGCATGGCGACTCTTGTGGACAGAGTCTGTCTCTAACCGTGTAACCTGGGCATCCTCTTGTGCAGGAACGAAGAGTTGAAAAGAAAGCTAACAAACTTGCATTCAAACTGGAGAAAAGAAGGCAAGAAAAGGAGCTGCTGAACTTGAAGAACATTGAGGGTCTAAAGCTGTAGGTATGGAGCATTCAGTGTAAGCTCTCTGTATTCCTCTTTCCGTGGTCTTCATTGTGCTCCATAATTAACCAGGACCTTAAGAGAGGTGAACTTGTCCCTGTCATTTTTATATGCAAATAACTGAGAAAAGTAGAGTATTTGTATTTTTATACAAGTAAGATTCTCTTGTCAGCTACCTTGTAAATATTATTATGTTTGACTTTAATATTATAAGCTTATATTCCCTCTGAAATAAATGACTTCATGAAAGTAAAATGTTTGGATAAATTAAAGGAAAATATCTTTATAATGTGCACGGAATTGGTGTGTTCATTTATTTGTATGGTTGTCAAAGTTGTTCTTTGCAGATGTTCTCAAATATTTCTTTGAAACCTCTCCACGCCTTCTCGGGAATTACATGGTTTAATTTGCCGTCTGTAGAGGAGTGGTCTGGCTAAGCTCAGTTTTGAAATGCTGAGTTTATTCTCAGTGGTGAGAAGACTGTTCCTGAGAAGATTCCACGGGCAAGGGCTGATTTTCCCGTGTCCACAAAACGACCCTTTCAAAAGAACTGTGACGATGAGCACTAGCTGCAGTTGTGGTTGGGATTTCCTGCCTGGGACCAGATGGCTCTTTCCCTTTGGGATTTAGAACCAGCATAGCTGGAGCGATCAGGAATACTTACTTCTCTGTAACCTAGAAAGTTTTGTCTTCCCAGTGTTGTTTAATGTTGGGAACCACCCACAACTTATTAAAATATATACTCAGAAGGGTCCAGGTTTTGATGAGGTGCTCTTGTTTTGACATCTAGAGACTGATTCAAGGCTTAGGCAATGACTCCATCATAATGTTCATTATTTGCTAAACTGTGACTTCTCACTGACCTTAGCCCATTTGCCCCTGACCAGTGTGGACACTGCTGGTCAGAGTGAGGAACAAAATGGCTGAGGCACAGCCTCTTGTGGCAGGTGAGCTGCATTTGATGGCTAGATTTTTAGAGGTCTCATCACCAGCTAGTTAATTAAGTCTGTTCCAAAGTTGATAGGTATTGCTTTGCTCTAAGTTTTATTCATTTAAATCTTAATTATTGTATTTCTTTTTAGAATGGTGAAAAACTCTAAAGTCCCATTCTGTTAACACTTAACAGCCAAAAGTAAAAATCCAAAAGTGCATACAGTTTGCCATTGAGGAAGTGTAGCGTACTGAATGCGTGCTTAAATGCTGACCCGCTGAAGCAGGCTTAGTTGATGTTTTATGTGAATACTGGGAATGAAAATCCTAGATGGATGGGCCATTTATCATGTTTAGTCTCAAAGCCTTCAAGACACTTGGACACAGGATGTCACTGTGCTCTGGTCCTATTCAAATTGATCTCTTGTAAATAAGACAATGCAATTCAGCCCTAAGTCTTGAGAAGCCTGATTAATTTAGCTTCAAGATTGTAATTATATTCCAGAGAACAGTTTTGGGGTGACTTTAATGAATTGCTAAAATTTGTTACCACATCTCCCTGAAAACACCAGACCTGAACACCCCTCCCCATACACACACACACACACACACACACACACACACACACAAATACTCAGTTTTTAGTCCTCTGTAAACAGTGTTGAAAAGTGAACATACCAGCTCTGTCCTGAATGATAGGAGTTGAGAGATAAGAGGGATTTTGCCTTCAAGAACTACTTGGTTGGAGACAGAGTTCAGACAGATAAGTGCTGATGCCATCACTGTGACAAGCGACACTTGTGCTGAGGACCTGGGTACTCACTGTTGCCCTGAAGTGTTTAGATAAACTTCAAGGTTGCTCAGTTGTTACCTATCTTAGATGGTTGTCACTTGAGTATGTGTTTAAAAAGCACACCCTCCTCCCTAGCGCTTGTCCTGTGCCCCCTGTAGCACTGACATACAAGGTTGCTTCTCAGGATCACCTCTGACTAGAGAAAGGTTGGAGGTCAAAACCTTTGTTTACCACTTTGTCCTGCTGGCCAAGCCAGCACCTGGAATTTGGTGAAGAGTGTTATATGTCATAGGTATAGATGGTACCAGGCTGAGACACTTCATAAAAGAATGGCTAAAACTTGGAGCAGGACAGCGATAGATTTAGGGTTAGCAAGGGAAAAAAAAAAAGATCCCAAATAGGCATTGAGAAATTTTATTTTTTTGTTCTTGTGTGTTGTAGACTTGGATCTTCATGTAGGTTCCGAGAATTGAACTCAGGTCACTGGCCCTGCCTACTGAACTTTAGTCTTGTTTTGAGCATTGTCCCGGATTGGTTTCAAAGCTTTCTTATTAGATACTTTGGGAGTATCATAAATCTGTGTCTTCACTCTTGGTGCCGTTTGTACATGCTGTCTTGATGCACTGTATAGATGTATAGAATCTACAACCTTCATTGTGACATCATCATACCACCTCAATGGAGAGCAACTCTGACCCCTCACCCCTATTCACATATTCAGTGTTACGTGGTTTGCTTTAACATGCCTGTTGGATCTAGTTGGAGGACAGAAAATAAAGATTCCAGTGCTTTGTAAGCTAGTTAATTATGGCAAAATATGTGATACATAAGCACATGCCTGTTGTGCAAATAAGAAATAGAACACAGAATCAAGTGGCCTCAGGATCCATTCTGTTCCCCCACACACACTCATTTATAAACTACCCAGTCTGCTACACTAAACATTACCCCCTTTTCTTTAAACCACTTACATGATACCCATTAACACAGTTTCCTTTGGGCCCACTACAAGCACAAACCTACCTCAAAAGGCAGCATTTGCGACTCTTAGTTGAGATGTCTTAGAGATGACCTAAAGAGCCCCTACCTAGGTCTGACTTCAGCTTCTAGAGTGTGTGCATCTGTGTGCACATGTCAGCGAGCAAGGTGCTGAGTGAATTCTGGAAGCCTGGCATGCGAGGAGTCATGCTTGCAGACTGCATGCTTGGCTTGTGTTTCTGTATCTGAGCTCACCGAGGCCTCCACCTCGGTGTCAGAACAGAGCTACAGCTCTAGCCTGAAGTGGTTCTTGTTTTTAGAGTGGTGGTGCACGTTTGGAAAGGAAGAAAAGAAAAAAGAAAATGCACGAAATTAAAGAAAGTTTGTTGCTTTTATTCTTAGCACTCAAATGTAGTAACTGTTTTTGTTGGGGTGGGTGTGTGTGTTTCTTTTCTATGATTATTTTCAAGACAGGGTTTCTCTAGCTTTAGCTGTCTGCAGATCAGACTGGCTTTGAACTCACAGAGATCTGCCTGCTTCTGCCTCCCAGGTCCTGGGATTAAAGGCCCGCGCTCCCACCTCCAGGCTCTGTGTTTCTTTTTGTCAACATGTACTTCACAAATTCTTTTGGTTGGTTGGTTGACGGGGGTTTTGGTTTGTTTGCTTGCTTCTGCTTGTTTGTGTGGTTTCTGTTTTGTTTTTCTAGATAGGGTTTGTCCGTGTAGCCCTGGCTGTCCTGTAGACCAGGGTGGTTTCAAACACCCGTTTCTGCCTCCTGGGTGCTGGGATTAAAGGCAAATGCTGGAGTTAAAGATGTATACAAGCACACCTTTTAGTCTCTCTCTGTAGTCCAGATTAGAGTTGGACTCAAGGCAGTCCTCTTGCCTCCTGTGTTGACATTACAAATGTATTTTTGGCTGCTATGTTCTCATACCATCATTCAGCAACCCATATTCATGAAGGGCCTCATAGTATGCTGTTTTGCTTTCTGGGCCATGTGTCCTCTCACAGCTGCAGATCGTGAAAGCAACAATAGACATAAAGAAATGAGTATGGGGAGGGGCACACTCCTGTAACCCTGCATTTTCAACAACATGTAGTCTCGGGTGTGTTCACAGACCACAGTTTGCTTACTCCTAATGCTTCATTTTGACAAACTATACATAGTTTTGCAAAAAAGTGACAATATAGCCAAGGGATCCCTTGCACCCTTAACTGAAAGCTTCTTGTTGAACAGCATCCGAACCAGTAAATGTCATGAGTATAAGGTGGTTTCTTAGCTCCGTACTGTTTGATATATGCAACCACTGCCATCCGTTGTGAAGATTCAGACTCCTTCCTTCATAGAGAAGGAGATTGTCCTCATTCCACTGTATCTCATCCAGCCTCCTCAACCATTCCTACAACTTCTCTTCATTCCTTAGAAGCAGGCTTCCAACTTGAATGTCATTCGGAATGGAGTGGTCCATCCATATCCAAGTTTTTAATTGGGTCATATCTTATTTTATAGTTCTTGAACTCGTTAAAACTCACTGACTTGAACCAAAGGTCTTCTGATCCTTGGTTTCAGATCCTTCATAGATTAACTGGGGCATCATAAACCTACAGTTGAATTTTTGTCTTAATCTTTGTAGAGACTCTGAGGTTCAAATCTCAGGGTTACCACTTGCGATTTGTGGACTGAGAGAAGTCACTTAAACTTCAGCCTCCATTTTCTTTGTGAAAACAACACCAGCTGTGTCTTACAAGGTTACTGTGAAGAGCCTGTGAAGTAACCTAGACATGGAGAGGACCAAATAAATATGACTATGACATGACTAAGGACATTACCTTCAGTAATGTTGGGGGTAAACAACAGTTTTAGAATCAAGGAGTTATTAACAAGTCTGTTGGGGTGGGGGGGTGACTTGCTGAAAATACTTTTAAAACCCAGTTTTGTGGACAGCCGCAAGGACAGGAGGGGGAGTATTTATAGGTGGATGGCCTATACTGAGAACACAATTCCAATTAGCAGACCTGTGAAGAAATTGTTAAAGTCAACAATGTCTGTGCAACCTGCCATCTGCTTGCTGTTAAGCAGACTCACTTTTTCACATGGTTCCCCTGTTGGTTTCCATGGCCCTGATTTCTGCTTCTTCTGGCTTATCACCATCATTTTCTTGGCCCTAAGTGGAAGTTTCCCTAAGGATCCTCTCTCCGCTGCTTTTTTCCACGGCTTCTTTCCCTGGCAGTGTCCTGCTTTACGTCATTCCCCCAAACCTACATCTGTGTCCCTCATCCTGACCTCCCTCATCTCCATCCTGCTGGCTGGACAATGCTATTGAACTCAGTATTTCCAAGACTGGGGTCATTTTTCTTCCTAGGATGGATTCACTTTTCAACTCCCTATTTCTATCCACAGACCCACTGTCCTCTCAGGCTTCCTGCCTGTAAACTTAGCATTGTCCCCAAGCATTCATCTTTCTGTCACTTCCCCACCTTCACGCCCCCCCCCAACTAGTCCTGTTGAAGATTCTTGATACATTTCTCCTTCCCCTCCTGTTCCATACCAGTTTGGAAATGAACACACCTCTGTCCATCTTCAAGCATGTCGCCTGTGTGCTCCACAGCTCTGTGCAGGTTCCCTTGAGGACCACACAGTGTCCCAAGATGTCCCTCCTTGTCTGTGGAGTAAATGCCGTATTTTTATTCCAGTATAAAACCCCTATGCTTAGACCTGAAACTTAAAAAAAAAAAAACAGACTTTACATACTGAAATTCAGACAAACCAAAATGTACTAAGAAGCGAAATCTTAGAAGTCTATAATGTTTTCATTTTCTCTAACTTCTTTTAAAGTGACTAATCTTCTAATTTAGAAAAATATCCTCGTATTTTCTGTCATTTTTCTTTGTTGGACCTGTGTATGGGTTCCTTCAGTAAATTTAATTATTTCTTGCAAGATTTATTTGTCCCGTGGTAGAAAAACTTCCTTTTTGCTTGACTTACTTCTGCAAGCAGTATTGAGTTTTTGTTTATTTTCTAAGTGTGTGTGTGTGCGCGCGCGCGTGCGTGCGCGCGCGTGCGTGCGCGCGCGCATGTGCTTACACATGTATGTGGTAGAGAGGCCAGAGGTGGATGTTGTGTGTCTCTTAACTGTTCTTCATTTATTTTTTGAGATAGGGTCTTGAACCTGAGTCTCACTGCTTGGCTAGACTGGCTGTCCAATGAGACCCCAGGAGCTGTCTGTCCATCTAACTTCCCTCCAGTGCTGGAGTTGAGTTGCAGATGTAGGCTGCCATGCTAGCATTTATTTAAGTACTAGGGATTCACAATCAGCCACTCATGCTTGCACAACAAGGACTTTACTCACTGGGCCACCTCTCCAGACCCTTAGAGAGCACTTTCCTTTGTCTAGGGAAGGCACAGACCAGTTTTTCTTCAGCCATCAATGACAGTCTATCTTCAGCCTAAGCAAAGTCCCAGAGACGTCACCATCAGACAATTTGTGACTTCATGCTAATATATTACCTCTGAACTTACGTCTCACGCCTAGCTCTCAGCACCCCATTTACCTACCAAAGCAAATAATTATACTGGGTTTGCCTCAAGTTTGTGTAATTTACTTGTTTGGTGAGGTGAGAAGTTTATATTAGGAAAGGAAAACTTGGGGGATTGCAAAGGATCTTCCGAGGCAGAGGAAGCAGGTGGCGGGGATGGACAACTGTGAGGCTGACAGGCGAGTGAGGTCACCTGCAGTCACTTGTCTTTCCTCAGCCAGGCAATTCCATGAAACTTAACATAATGTGCTCTTGAATCTCATGCAGATGGCAATCAGAAGCTATTTCCCTGTGAAGTCTGTGGGAGATGCTTCGCAGCAGATGTTCTGGTAAACATAAAGACGTTTTGTAGATGTGTTTCATTGGAGTTAAATGAACTGTCAAGTCAGTGAGGAGGCAACGGTGCCAAGATTAAAGACAGATGTGGAGAGGGGTGGGAGGAGAAGTATATAACCTATGGCTGCCAGGCCTGGAGGACACTGAGGCAGGCCGATAATGCCGTGTGCAGAAGTGACCCTGCCTAACCACCGGCTCCCTGAAAGCATGCCAGGTGGGGTGGTCTTGGCACAGGCCGTTCTCCCTTGAGAGGTTTTGGCTCTTCCGCCTTTTCTTTAAGCATCAAAAATTCAGATTTCAAGGCCAAAACACCAGGGAAATTAGCTGGTCGAGAGGAATGAGCATTGAATTTCAGGCATCTGGAAACTTGGCTCGTAGTTGCAAATTTGTCACTGATTCTGACAAGTCCTGTAACCTTCCTGTTTTCTGCCTTGCCACGTACACGGAATGCTCTGATTTCAAGGGGGGGCTTATGCCATTTGAACAAATAATGCATGGGTCCAAAACTGCACCGAGATCTAATTTTCCAGACTCGAACTAACTACACATCAAGTTCCCAGGCTTTAAAGTTGAAAAAAGGTTTGGATTATTTCAAACCTGGGGGGGGGGGTCAAACAAATGGTACTAGTATTGTAAAGAGATAGCCAAGAAAGATAAATTTTAAAAAAAGGAATTCTTAAGATGATAAGGTAATCATTTGGATATTTTAGACTGTGGGGTATTATATTGAACTTGCAAGATTTAGGGTTTGGATGACAAGGGACCTCCAAACTGAGGTTGTAGGTTTTGTTTTTCTGGGAAATTTTGGAAATGAAATATCTGTTCTGGATAAACTGTGAAAGAAGTTCGTGAAGCTACCACTGGAGCTCATGCAGGCCTGATACAGCCCAGTGTCTACCACTGTCTTCCACACACTGTTACCTTTGCCAGCTCAAGCTGCACCTCTGAGTTGAGGGGTTGAGACCTAGGTGGGACCTCTGGATGGATCACTAAATGTCAAGTATTATACTGTACCTTCTCCTAAGTCTCACTCCAAAACTTTGTCTCTAGGCTGTATAGAGCACTCAGTCACGTGGTCTCATAATCTTTCCTGTAGTTTACCGTGGATGACTAGGAGGAGCACAGATTTTTATAGAACCTGCATTTTAGGAATCTAGACAAAGCAACTTGTAAATGGTAGCTATTACAGAAGAGGACAGAGATGGGCACGCTCTGCCCTAGAGGCACTGTGACCAGCTGCATTGGTTGATTTGCTGTTGCTATGATGAAACACACTGACCAAAAGCAATTAAAGGAAGAAAGGGTTTTGTTTGGTTTATAGTCCCAGACAGACAAAGCCCATCATGGTCACAAAATCATGGCATGGTAGGAAATTCATGGCATCAGGAGCAGAAAGCCGGTTGGTCACATTTTATCTGAACAGAGGAAGCAGAGTAAATGAACAGGAAATAGGCTAGCCCTTGGTAATAGACTTTTCCAGCAAAGCTCCACCCCTAAAGGTTCTATAGCGTCTTCACACAATTCCCCCAAAGGGGGACTAAGTACTCATGTACAGGAGCCTAGGAGGGACGTTTCTTGTTCAAGCCACCGGGCCCTAACTTAATGCATGTACACCAAGCAGAGTGCTATATGTTTTCTTTCCTGTTTTTCCTTTAGAAATATTGAGTATTTAAAAGACTACTGGCTGGAATAAAGAGCGCATAGCCTCATTTTTAGAGTTTGAGATGTGAAATCAAATTTAAAGTAAAACTCTTTAGCTATTGTGTTAATTTTCTGTCACTATAACAAAATACCTGAGATAATCACATTATAAACCAAAAAATTACCCTTGTCCCAGTTTTAGAGGTGTTATCTAATGAGAAATTAGCCCAATTGCTTTTATGGTTGTAGCAGTAAAAACATAAAGGGGGCAAAAGCTTTCCCATTCATAAGCAGTAAGCAAAAGGGAATTAGAAGAAGTCCAAGAGCCACAGTTCCTTGGACAGAGACACACCCCTGATGACCAAAACTCCCAATAGGAACTCATCTATTTTGGCTGTCTTGCTTTTGAGACAGGGTCTCTTTACACAGCCCAGGGTGCCTTGCACTCACAACCTTATTCCCTGGGCTTCCCTGGTACTAAAACAGAGGTCTGCAGCTCCATTTCCAGCTTAGACCTCACCTCTTTGTTTTGTTTTCATTTTTGTTGTTGTTGTTGTTTGTTTTTTGAGACAGGGTTTCTCTGTGTAACAGTCCTGGCTATCCTGGAACTCTAGAACTCACTTTGTAGACCAGGCTGGCCTCAAACTCACAGAGATCCACCTGCTTCTGCCTCCTGAATGCTAGGATTAAAAGCATGTGCCACCACTACATGGTAGACCTTGCCTCTTAAAGACTCACAAATACAGGAAACTGTAAAACACCTTTTGTTGTCATTCCCTAAATATAGTATTGATCTATGTCTGACATGACTGGGGAAGCTGATGGGTTTCCTCTACTGTGGTCTATAGTTAGAGAATGGACTAAATACTACAGACACTAGCCTGTCACCATCCTGGAGGCTAAGTATGTAGTCATTAAAACTTCATGATCGTATATTTTCCAAATCAAATCCCTACTCTTTATTGACTAGGAAAGACATGGACCAATATGTAAAAAACTATTCAACAAAAAACGCAAGCCCTTTAATTCCTTGAAGCAAAGATTACAGGGGACTGACATTCCCACCGTGAGTAAACTTCCACAGTCCAAGGTATGCCAACCATTTCTTTACTTCTCAATATAGAAAGTACATGTAAGCTGATTTCTTGGCTCTCTGACTTCATTTTTTTGCTTGATAAGGCAGTGTAACGGAATTTAAATATAATCCACCTTTACTGTTTTCTGTATAATCTTACTTAGATTTCCAAATAAATCTTAGATACTTTCCAGATGTAGTTGAAAGAATCCTGTTTACATTTTAGTAGAATGCCTATCGGTCTAGAAAGTGGCCTGGAAAGAAAGTTACTTATCTCCCCACTCTGAGATAAGGTTTCACTGTATAGCAAAGGTTGGCCATGAACTGACTACGTAGCCATAGCCCACCTACCTTTCAAGTTCCTGATCCTGCTGCCTCAACTTCCCCAGTGCTGAGAATGAGGGTGTGCACCCACACCAGTAAGAAAGTTACCACTGGGACCCGTTGTAATTTTAAAAAAGCAAAGCAGCATGCTAAAGAAAGACGCCATGCAACAGTGCTTGGGTGGAGGGGTTTCTATTGTGGGAAAGTGAATGGGGAAAGGAGGGAGGGGAGACCAGCCTCCAGGGACAGGAGTGACAGCGGGGAGGGGAGAGGGGGAAAGAGGAGAGAGAGAGAAGAGATAAAAAGATGGAAGGTAGGCAGGGCCCTTTTAAGAGGGAATATAGTGAATGTACAGAGGTGATGCTCTTAGTGGCCACAGCTGAGGGCTTATCCTGTCAGAACCCCAAGGGCAGGCCAGTACAGTTGCCTGAATAGTAACAGGACCAGCAATACATCTGCCACCAAACCTGACAACCTGAGCTCATTCCCCAGGGAACCACATGGTAGAACAGACCCCTGAGAGCTGTCCTCTGATACTCCACTCATGTTGTGGTATATACACATCACACAAAAATACATTGATAAAAATGTAATTTCCAAACAAAAACTTAAGAAATTATCTTGAATCTTGCATCTGTCTTTCTCTGAGGTTTTATGGAGTCATTGTTTCTCTGCTTTTTGCTTTTTGTTTGTTGTTTTGGGGTTTTTTGTTTGTTTTGGGTTTTTTTTTTTTTTGACACAGGGTTTCTCTGGGTGTAGTCCTAGCTGTCCTGGAACTCACTCTGTAGACCAGGCTGGCCTCAAACTCACAGAGATCTGCCTCTGCCTCTGCCTCTGCCTGCCTCTGCCTCTTGAGTGCTGGGATTAATGGTGTGTACCACCAACGACTGCCTTCTGATTTTTTGGTCACTGTTGTGACTTGTGAACAATATTTCTGTAGTTTGCAAACTTTTGAAAATAGTTCTTTTCAGGAAATTTTTCTCTCTACAAGAATTTTCTCTGTAAATTACATGGCCCCCATTTGCTATATATAAATTCAAAAGCTAGTTATTTAAAAAAATCTGTTGATCAGTATGTAATCTAGGGTAGTATAGATGATGACTTTGTTTTGTTTCTTACAGGTTCAGCCTGTGAGGAAATCCAACTGGAGACAGCAGCATGAGGACTTCATTAATGCTATTCGATCTGCAAAACAATGCACTCTAGCCATTAAAGAGGGCAGGCCCCTTCCACCTCCTCCCCCGCCAACCATCAACCCAGGTGTGTGGCTGTTTGGCTTGCTTTTGTAGCCATAGTTGACTTTTGGTCGTATAAAAATGACAATAACAATTACACAGAGGTAATTTTATCTATTGTACGAGTCAGTATATGCAGTACACATTATTATCATTTCCTTTCATTTCACAGAGCTTGTATATTCCCTCCTGTCTGCCCCACCACAAGACATCACCACAGCTGATAGGGTCAGGACACACAAAGGGCACACCATTTGCACCTGTGGCCGAGGAACAGGACACTGTGCACAGTTCTACACTGGTTCCACAGACACAGCAACACACAGCTCTGCATTTGCAAGTCATAGTCTCATAAAGCCAGCCATTTGAAGCTGTGCGACTCAAGTGGCTTCGCAGCTTTCTTTACTCTGAGCTTTGTACTTTGAAAAGTTTCAAGTCTATAAGAAAGAGGAAAGAATAGAACAGTCATCATTTACATGCCTTCTGAGGTCTAAGGATTTCAGACTGTACTGTCTCTCTGTCTCTGTTTCTGTATCTGTCTGTCTCTATGTGTGTCTTTGTCTCTGTCTCTCTGTCTCTCTCCTCTTTGTCTCTGTCTCTGTGTCTGTCTTTCTCTCTGTATAATATTGGGTCAGTTACCCCCCACACACACACACACATGAAGATCAGAGAGCAACTTTTAGGAATCCTTCCTTTCTTCCTTCCTTTCTCTCTCTCTAGAGATCAAAGCAGGTTGCCAGGCTTGGTGACAGGCAGGCACCTTTACCCACTGAGCCATCTCAAGGACTCTGGAAGAAGTCTATAAAAGTGAAGTTTTAGAAGGCAATACTTTATGCTTGACAACATCAATAATTCATCTATAAGGAAAACACAGATTCATGCTTTCCAAGTTATTTGAAGAATGTTTCTAAGGCTCTCTCCACATTCCCACCCAGCTAGAATCTAGAATCCAGTCAAGGTTCAGACGTTGCTTTCTGTTGTCTTTTCAGACATTTTTCAATGTTCTGCTACACCTTTGCCCAATGATTTAACTTTCAGAATGCTGCCTGTTTAAGTCATACTGATGTTTAACTTATCTCTGTGTCCCATCTTTCAACAAGTTGGAGGGTAGCACTAGAGGCACAGTTAGATTAATTTTAATCTCTTGTCAAAAGTATGATTTGCAAATAGTTTTTCTCCTGTTTTGCATTGCCTTCGGACTGTGTTGTATTTAGTTAAAGCACAAAATTTTTAATTTTGAACTACTTTTGCTTTTGTGATCTACGCTTTTCATGTCATAGCCAAAAATATCACTGCTGAATATAATTCTAACACATATACCCTGAAAATTTTTTTGTGTGGGGTTAAGGGTCTCATGTAGCTCAGATTGATCTCAAACTTTCTGTGTGGTCAAAGATTACCCTGAGTTCCTGGGCCTCCTTCCTCCATCGCCCACGTGCTGGGATGACAGGTGTTCCCCACAAGGCTTAGCCCCCTGTGTTTCTTATTCTAACGTTCTAAGATTTTGGTAGGTGGTTAGTCTATTCTGAGTAAGCATTTGTGTGTAATACAAGGTCAGGCTTCAGTCTTACTCTTTTGAACATCAATAACCAGATTCCTCAGCTCCATTAGTTAAGAAGACCATCCATGAGGGTGATCAGAAGCGAGTGTGGGAAACATACATGATATACAGCAGTGGTTTTCAACCTATGGGTTGCAACCCTGCTGGCAAAACTCTGCCTCCAAAAATATTTACATTGTGATTCATAACCGTAGCAAAATTACAGTTATGAAGAAGCAGTGAAAATAAGTTTTGGTTGGGTCACAACATGAGACACTGTATAAAAGGGTAACAGCACTAGGAAGGTTGAGAACCAATGACATACATAATAATATAGTTGAGCAAAAATGTCATTATGAAACCTAACACTTTGTACAATGAATATACAATAAAAGTATTTTTCCTAGATAAATAATTTAAAAGGCCATTCTTTGCCCTTTAAACAGTTAATCAGCAATCTTTATTATTATTTTTTTTAAACAATCTTATTTTACATGCCAATACCAGTTCCCTCTCTCTCCCCTCTTCTGGCTCCTCCCCACTCTCTCCTCACCCTACCCCTCATCCACTCTTCAGAGAGGGAAAGACCTCCCATGGAGAATCAACAAAGTCTGTCATACCACTTGAGTTATCAGTAATCTTATTAAAAGTTACTTAGGGCACAGCAAAGTGTCTCAGTGTGTAAAGCTGCTTACCACTGAGCTTGAGAATCTTTGTTCCATCCCTAGGATTCATATAGTAGAAGGTGACTTCACCATGTTCCCTATAGACACACACACACACACACACACACACACACACACACATAAATAAATAAATCTCATTTTTGAAAACTGTTTTAAAGTCAAGTAACTGTATTTTTGAAAGTTTAGTCTCTCTATTCTACGCTACTCATCAATGTTTGTCCTTATGCCAGTACAGCTCTATTTTGATCACCATAGGATTAAAGTAAGTTTTGAAATCAAAACATTGACTGCCACAGATAGAAAAAAAAGCTTTTTTGGTTGTTGGAATTCCTCTGAAATTCCATATAAATTTTAGGGTTTTTTTTTTCCTATTTCTACAAAAATGTCACTTTGGGGACTGGAGAGGTGGCTCATCAGATAACAACACTTATTCTTGCAGAGGACTCAGGTTCAGTATCCAACCTACATGGTGACTCACAGCTTTCTGTGACATGACATTACAGACCCTCCTCAGGCACCTACACTCACATGGCACACATACAGACAAGCAGGCTGTCTTAGTGACTTTTCTGTTGATGTGATAAGAAAACAAGACCAAGGCAACTTAAAGAAGAAATCGTTTCAGGGGGTTAGAGTCCATGGCCATCAAGACAGGGAGCAGGGGAGCAGGTAGGCAGGCTTGGCACTAGGACAGTACCTGAGAACTTACATCTTGAACCGCAAGCATGAGGCAAAGAGAGCTAATTGGCAATGACATGGGCTTTTGAAACCTCAAAACCCAGTGACACATCTCCCCTAACAAGGCCATACCTCCTCCAACAAGCCACACCTCCTAACCCTTCCCAAACAGTCCACCAACAGAAATCAAGCATTCAAATATCTGAGCATATGGGGGCCTTTCTTATTCAAACCACTCATAAGCACAGACACACACAAACATACACATAAAGTCAAATAGCAAGATGCAGGTTGGACAATTGCATCTAAGTGGCCTACTACTCCAGATAAAGACAGACACTGGGTAATAAAGCAAGAGCCAACAGTATTCTTTTCACGAGAAACACACTTTAAGGACAAAATCTAAAAGCTTGGGGAAAGATGCAAGCAATAATCACAGAGCTAGAGTATCTGCTGACATCAGCAAAGCGGACTTCAGGACAAGTGTTAACGGAACCAATGACTCAAAAGCTACAGTCATTAAGACCTGTGGGCATATACTTAGTGCTTCTGAGAATATCAAACAAAACCTGACTAAAGTGGAAAGAGATAAATTCACAGTTCAATTACATTCAGGCACTTTGTCACTTGTATCATAATAACTAATAGGCTGACCCACAGGAAAATCAGGAGAGCTAAGGAAAACTTGAACAGCCATATCGGCCTGTCTGACCTCACTGACATCAATGGCCAACAGAGGACAAAGAGTAAGAACAGAGTACACAGTGTTTTCAAGTACACAGGGAGCATTATATGCCAGGCTGTAAAGTCAACTTCAGGAGTCTGAAAAGGATTGAGATCATATAGACTATGCTCTCTGACCAAAATAATATTAAATTAGAAATTAATTTAAAAAAACATGTCTGGAAAATTTCCGAGTATTTAGAAATAACAAGTGATTTCCAAACATCCATGAATCCAAGAACAAATCACATGTTGAATTAGAAAATAGTTTATGTGAATGATAATGAAAACATCAAAGTTGCAGGGTCTTGGCTCATGTGCTGATAAAGTTTTGCTTTTAAAGTTAAATAACAGGAAAATAATAAATGTAATTTATTATAACAAGATATTTTAAAAAGCATTTGGTCACATCGAAAGAGCAAAATTGTTTGACAAAGTGTAATGTACATATTAAAAACAAAACACAAACTCTCAGCAATTGGAAAATTAAAGGTAATTTCTCCCAAAAAGGGAATCTTTGAAAATCTCTATTTCTCATCACGCTCAATGGTGGCAAACTGAACACATTCCCACTTAGCTCAGGGGAAAAAAGCAAGAATATCCATTTTGTCCACTTCTGTTAAACATGCTGGAAATAGTACCCAGTGCAATAAGACAAAACAATCAATATATAATCTTATAATACATACACATATAATATATGATATGAAGGCTGAGCTGTAGAAGTAAGGCTATCTGAATCATAAACTGCAATCACTAAAGAGGAAATACAGAAAACTCCAGGAAGATGCTAGAATTAGAACAAATTCAGTACCTTCTATACTTCTGTGGTTTATGCAGAAGCAATTAAATATTAAATTAAAAACAACACTTACAATTACATAAAAATGCTAAACACTAGGGATATAGTTGACAAAATATGTACAGAGGTATAAAATGAAAAACAGTATAATACTCCTTCGAGGAATTAAAAGGAACCAAAATTAATAGAAAGACTTACCATCTTCATGGCTTAAGAGACTCAGTAGTGTTAGGATGTCAACTATACCCACATTTCTCTATGGTTTCAATTTAATTCCAATAAAAATAATGGCAACTCTTTTTTGCCAAGTAGGCGTTGACAAGCTGACTCTAAAAGCATGTGCAAATTGAAAGGGTCTGGAATAGCCAAGGCAGTTTTGGGGTGACCCATAAAACAGAGGACTTAGTCTTAGAGTCAAGACTTGCTGTAAATGCACCATCCATGCAGTGTATTGTTGGACAGCCAGTTGAACAGAACATGGAATCTGCTATAGAACCACCCCTTTGCATGGCTGGTTTTCTTTTAAAGTATATTCTGGTTAAACTTGGTATAAACTGAAGTCATCCAAGAAAAGTGAATGTCAATTGATAAAATGG